CTAATGCCAATCGAAACGACGACAGAGAGCATGCCGCAAAGCTCGACGAGGCGGTGACTCGACTTGATCTGAGAAGAGAGAGAGGCAGGCGGACCCACCATCTTGGGCAACCCATCGATAGTGGTCGTTGTCGCGGACGGGCCTACATGCACACGCCGCTGGGATCGTTGGCAGAAGTGGCTCTGGGCTGGCATCAGAGCTGCTGAGAAGCCACTGTGGCGTTTCGGCGGTGTGTTTTGCGCACCCTTTCTGGCTCCGTAGCGTGAAGCGTTTCGGACCGATGCTTTGAAGTGGCAAGGATGGCCGTCGAATACAGTGTATGAAACACTGTAAATTACAGCGTGTTGCCTCGATGAAACTGCCAAGGTTTGTGACCGTTCGTTTGAATGGAACGGTCCAATGACGTCATTAGGCCAGGAAGGTTCGTTCTTGTCACAACGCGCCCACACAAGGACCGACGTATACAAGGCATACCCGACTTGATGTGAGGACACTTGAACGTGGTTTCTGCCCGCTCGGGAGTGCCGCTGGGGTGCAACTCTGTCCTACGTGTTACGCTCCGGTCATCTCACAGCTACCTCTATAGCTTCAGCCTCAGTCTACAGGTGTACTTGAGTGGGAACAGGGTCGTATTGGTCTTGGCGTATTGGCTGTACTCAGCTATCTGGATTTGGGCCCTCGGCGGCTTAGCTCAGTGGCTAGAGGAACCATCTCAACATTTCAATGCCCATGGCAGCTTCCTCCGATGTTGCTTGCATCTGGGCGTGCTAGCAACTCAACACAGGCACGGCTGAGATGGACAGTGGATCGGTGGATACCGGTATGCCCCGGGGTACGTAGTCCGCGCGCAAGAATCATGAGAACACAACTGTGGATGGGTGCACCGGGCTATCACGCAGACATAAAACAGTGGTACGCAAGGGAATAACTAAATGTGGTCATCGACTCGAATTTCAAGATATTTTTATTTGAAATGATCTATGGTCCAGGTAGCTTGTTGCCAACTCCAAGGTATTTTTATTCCACGTGAGAAATTGGAAGCCGCCGGATACCATCCGGACTTGAAGGCTGCGTTCGCCAGCATATTTGTTTTGGCGACTACTTGGTGTATGGGCAACGAGATCTCTGCTATCACGCAGGTACAGTCCCTGTTCCCAGCCGTTCGAGGCACGACCGTGATCGTTAGGTGTTGGCGGCGGCCTATTCCTCCAACGTCATGCCCGCTCTTCTCGCCATCGCTGACACATCAACAATGTCCACCGTGCGCGCTACCGCCTCCTAATTTGACATGTGATCGCAGCAATGGCATAGGACGCGTCGCTCTTGTTCAACGCGGTGCAAATCAATGACGTCGCGCTCGTGACGCGCCTGCTAAACGAGGGCGACAGTCCCAACACGTCCAACGAGGTACCTCCTACACCGTCGACTTTTGTCGCGAGCTTGCTTGCTATGTCTAGAACGGGTGCACACTTCTCATGGCGGGTGCGGCGGCCGGCCACAAGGCCATCGTCGACGTGCTTTTGGCGCGTGGCGCCACCATGGATCTTGTTGACAAGGTGCAAAGTGGCGCAATGGCGGTTTCAGATTGCTACATGACCTTTCTAGCACGGGTGCAACGCGATGACCTACGCGGTGGCGCACCGCCGCGAGGACATTATCTCGTACTTGCACCAACACGGCGCGTCACTAGACGTGGTCCAAGCGTTAACGGGACTCAGTCTTGTGCACGCGGCGGTGGCCGATGCGATGACGACCTTCAACGTGCACTTTCTTACGTATTTGTTGGCGCGGGGGGCGTCGCCCAACTCGCGGCTCTTAACGTCGCTGCCTGACAAGCTTCAGCAGCTTCCATTGGCCAATTTTGTCGCGCGCGACGTTCTATTCGCTCAGGCTTCGCCGCTGACGACTGCGCTGGCATCGGGGAACCCAGTGCTCATGGATCTGCTCTTGGCCTACGACGCAGACCCGCGCTTGGAGACGCCGGTACCTCGGGACACGACGACAATAATGCCTCAAAGCCTCTACTAGACGATTCAAAAGCAGCTTGTGGAGAATGCGAACCTCCGCATGAAGCTCGCGTGGGCGTCAATGATCATGATGCGTCCGGGCGAGTCCCACGACCGCGCGGTGCGTCATATTTGAGCGCAGCGAGCACTAACAAGCTTTGATAGACAAAGCAAAGCCCGCTCGAAGCCGCTGTCTTTTCCAACTCGCTCGGGCTCGTCAAGCTCTACACGACGCTCCATGAGGGCATGCAAGACTTTCCGGTTCCACGACGCACCTCGTCAGGGTACAAACTTGACACGTTCTGTAGGATGAGTGCCCACCCCTTTTGCTCGCCGTACTCTTCAATCAAGTCGAGATGGCCAAGTACTTTGTGCCAACTTCGGGCATTAACGCGATCACTGCGGTACGATGCGAGTGTTCTCGGCTGGTCGTCATATCTACGGATAGGACGGCGATTACGCTTTCTACAATGCGGCCTTGAATGGCCTCTTGGAGATGGTGCAGCTTCTCGTCGAGCACGGCGCCAACGTCGCACCGACCAACGTGGTACGACGCGGCGCGATAAGCACCGAGGACGCATGGTCACCTAGGGCGAGGACCTTCCGATTCTGGGCGCGTACGACCGAGGCCACGACGATGTTGTTGTGTATTTGGCTGCCAAGATGGACAATGTCAACAGCATTCGATCGGTGTGTCTCGATGCAATGCCGTCTTTACATATCACTGCTGCTGCCATAGAACGGAGAGCCCTTCTTGCTACGCGCTTGTACCGAAGGCCGCATCTCGGTCGCCGACGCCCTTCTCCGCGCCGGTGCCGACTGCAACGCGACCGAATCGGTGCGTCGTTGCCGCCATGATATGGTTTGTCAATTGTGCAGAGGGGAATCACACCGCTCATTGGCGCCGCGTGCTTGGGGCGCACCGCGGTCGTTCAGCGCTTGCTGCAAGAAGCGTCGATCAATCTGGATGCAAATGACGAGGTACAATTGTCATACATGCAGCTAGATGGCCTGAAATGCACGTCCGCAGACCGGGCGCACTGCCATCTTTTGTGCGGTTCATGCGCTCCAGACCAATGAAATCCCGAGGATGCTCTTGGCGGCCGGCGCCAACGTGCGCGTCGCGACCAATGTACACATACCATGTCCTCTCGACCTGCAAATATACGATGCTGTGTAGGCTGGCTCGACGGTGTTTGCGCAGGCCATTTCAACTGGCCGCCGCGACCTTGCAGAGTTGCTCTTGCCGCATTTTGATATCCAGCAGCGCGTCCCGTGTTATGACAGGGCGCAGACGCTTCGCGTACGCCGCATCCTGATAGTTCAAGCCACTCGACTAACAACTTGCTAGCATGTCTCGTACCTCCAGCTCGCCGTCAACCACCGGCAATCACACATCGTGTCGTGGCTCCTCGAGCGCGGGGCTGATGCCAACCAAGACAATGTCGTCGACTCCGCTTGCGTCGTTATAACTGACACTTAGGATTAGGACGGGCGTCTTCCGTTGCTGGACGCGGTGATGCACAACGATGCAAGCACGGTTGCGGTGCTGCTTCCTTTCATCAAGGACTTGGAAGCCACGGACGCGGTACATACTCCCTTATATCGCATTCACAACAAACCGAATGCGTACCTTGTAGCATGGAGACACGGCGTTGCACTGTGCGGCCATGATCGGCAGCGTGGACATTCTGCAGCTTCTTGTCGCCAGCGGTGCCAACGTCGCACACATTGTCGAGACACCGGTATATCGTACTTGCGGCTACTTTGGCTCATGAGACGTAGGTACCGACGACAGCCATAGCGATGGCGAGTGCTGAGGGGCATGCGGCAGCGGTGCGCTACCTGCTAGAGATGGGCGCGCCGATCGACGTCCCCAACGTAAAGTCTCTTTTTCCAAGCCTACGTACTGAGAGATGATGCTGTAGGCAACGCAGAAGGGGTCGGTGGCACTGGCGTATGCGGCGATCCGCGGACACGGCGATGTCCTTCGTGCGTTGCTGCCGTTTGTCGATGGCAACGCGACGGTGGTCCACGCCCCTCTGTGCGAAACCGGCCCGGACTGGCGCCAGGCCTTTCTGCCCGCGTCAACCACGATGCCCCTGCCTTCTGTTGTCATATACGAAGCCCTGGACCCTGTCGAGGGCCACGGCGACTACTTGGATGCTCTCCGCGCACTTCTCGAGAGTCCGTCCGTCGACGTCAACAGTCGCTTTCCGGTATTGCATGGCTGAGCTGTTTTGCAGATTTTGCCTTCTGACTGTAGGAGGCATACGGGGCGACGGCCTTGATCTATGCGTGCAAACTCGGCAACCTCGACTTTGTACGCGCGATAGTCGAGCACACGGACTGCGATGTCAACGCGGCCGACAATGTACGATCCATTCGATTGGCAACGAGAGATTGGATTCGTGTAGGATGGCAACACGCCGCTGCACGCGGCCTCTCAACAGGGGTTTCTCGACGTCGTCTCGTTCTTGCAGGCGCAGCAGCCACGGCTCCACGTCATCGCTGAAAACAAAGTATTAGCAAATGACGCGAGTCGAATCTCACAGATGAAATAGGAGGGAATGACGGCATTCCAAATCGCCATCGCGCATGCCAAGCGTGACGTGGCGGCGCGACTGGGCCAAGAACCAGCGCTCGTCGTGCACGCCTTGACCAATAATATGTCAAGTAAGTAGCCTAGCGGGTGCTCTCTGACACAGTCGATGACGACGCTTTGAATAAAGATGGGGCATACGTGTACCTGCCACATTGGCGAAAGAGGATTAGTCAGCATTCATTGTGCTCTTGTCGAATGGCCATGTGATGTATATGGCGTGGTACCGTGCTGACCGCAACGCACCGCACTGTGTGAGCAATGACCTCTCTGTGTCAGCACTGACCCTCGACGATGGACGCAAGAGGTCATCCTCCACTTGCCAAGTCAATCTGCTCCGTCATGTGTTTTTACCCTCTCGTTATGTATATTTGGC